TTCTCAGAAGCAACGCATTCACTGTTTTCAATGCAAGCCCACATACAGATGATTACATCCAGATGGTCCCATTTCCCTGCAACAAGAGCTCACATTCAAAGCTACATTTTTTGTGTATATAATACATCAGATGTAAGCAAAATGATCTGTTGTGGCCATTGAACCCGGTATTATTTACCACCTGTGATTGAAAGTATAGATTAATTTGTTCGTAGAAGGATGCTTTCTAGACATTTAAGTCGATTTTGTTTTCCTGAATTGTGCCAGGTATTTGGCACGATTTACAAGGGAGACTGTCCGTCTGATTTCAGGTAAAGAGGGAAAAAAACAGCAGGGAATTACAAGGTGAAAAAGCCACTCCTTTATTTAAACCTGGTCTAGGACGTGCAACGCCCTGCTGCTCACCTCGTTTCTGAGAAGCAGGTGAGACAAAGAATGACAGAGAGAGAGATGTAACAGGAGAGGTCATAAAACAGGAACAGAAACTGCAAAACCTGCTGGACAGGTTTGCTGAGTGATACCATCATCACATCCTCACCTGCTTTGAATGTAAACATGTATCCTCATAGGGAGAAACCTGCAGCTGTGAAGAAACCTATGTTGTAGTGTGTATTCACAGCTGTGAATTTTGATTTTAGATCAATTTTAATTAAAAAATGTATATAGATTAAATATAGAAAATATAGATTCAACTCAGATAAAATGGTACGAGATTGTAGATGCAGTGTGGCACCTGTTGAATGTAAATATGACTACACATTCCAGGAAGAAGGCTGATAATTCTTTTACTGCTTCAACTGAAATGAGTTAGTCTTTAAATTTGGTAAAACAGTTACTAGAGTAATCATTCTCATAAAGCTAAATAAGATGGCTTATGGTTTCTTGTGTATAGATTATGAGATGGGGAGAAAAAAAACTATAACTAAATTAGAAAAATCTGTGATAAATTTAAAATCTCAGTGTTTGTGAGCATTAACCTCTCAGCATTATTTTATGCATTTCATTATGGTTAAAAACATGTGGACTCCCTTGTTCTACAGTATAGTACCGTATAAACTGCAGTTGCATAATATTACTATTACTCCTAATATTTTTATTATTACTAAAAACAATAAAACAAATTAACCAATGTGCATACAGCAAAATATTTTTTTCAGGAACATCAGAACTAAAACACAAAGGCTTGACACCAATACTGAGCCTCCAAGTAAGCGCCGGCACATAAACATCACACAAAACAACCGCATACGTCAGAGTGGAAAATGGGTGCTTGCTTGGAGATGTTAAGTGTTATACATAAGTGGTGTATACAATTTTCTTTTACCCCAAAAGTGCTAATTTGTCAAATTTAGAGATATTAGTTCTTACTTAGATTACTCTAGAAACTTAGTTTAGTCTGCCTCTGGATGTTACACATAAAGCAGGTTCAGTGGATACCTAATCCGCAGCACCACCTGCTGATTTCTTTCGTTAGTCCATAAGTATTTGGAAAAGTACACGATGTAATTTGTTTGTACTTCTGCTTCTTTCTTTTTTTTAAACTATATATGCAAAATGTAGTGCTGAGAAAAATTATTCTAGTGTATATATACCTCTCCAAGCTCCCTATGCTTGGCATTGATCAGCATTGGGTAACGTGACCTTTCGATGATAGAGGGATAAGGAACCTAATACAGCTCATTAGAATCATGAGGACCAACTGGTTAGCTTGCTGATTGTTTCAGATGCATGATGTCCACTGCAGACTCATTTGACTGAGCAGCAGGAGGCTAACCAATGCCAGAGAGCAGCACGTCAGCCCCCTTGCTGGCTGCAGCTCAGGAATCAGGGCCAGGAGAGAAACATACATCTTACACTCCATCCTGAAGTTTGGGTGTCAGTAGCAGGAGCCACTGAAAGCAGGAAGCCAAACTGATCTTGCTAGCAATTACCAGCATTCAAATGGTGCATGAATAAACAGTGTACATTAGAGTGAGAAGCAGGCACCTCTTTAGGGATGTTAAGCATTATCCACTGTTTGGTGAACTACTTCAAATGAAGACTTGCAATCTAAGTGTGGGCGATTGGGGAAGGACAAGACAGTTATTTCTTATCTGTTGTATAAGAAACATTGCATAGTTTAAGATTCCAAATGTTCTGTGCTATCCATACAATACGGTGCAGAACCATATTTTAAGCCTTAATACAAAGCTTAAAATCTTGTTTTGCACTTAGTATTTTTAAAATCTAATGCAAGGCAAAGCCCTGTTTTATAGATTAGTAGAAATGTAGCGTTGTTTGTCTTAAGACAATACACATAGAAGTAGGTTAAAAGGTACCTGGTACCTACTGCTACAGAACAGCCCCACCTGCTGACTTGTTTTTTGTGTTTTACGGTCCATAATTATTTCTTTAGCAATTACAGCTATTTTTGTAAATAGCCCCCCATTTTCAACAGTCTAGAACTGTGTTTCCTCGCTGGAAACGCTCTGCCAGCCAAACATTTACTGCTTCTTTGTGCAGCTCTCTGCATTTAGTTTGGTATTTAACAACTCAAAAGCACGCTGTGTTGAGTTGAGCTTAGGGGACTGACGTGACACTGGAGAATATTTCAGTTCTCTGCTTTGAGAAACTGTTGGTTTGCTTTTGCAAAATGCTTTGGGTCATTATCCATTTGCACCTTAAATCACCATATAATCAGGCTAGCAGCATTTGGCTAAAACAGAGGAGAGTACAGCCCTGTACATGTGTACACATGTACAGAATTCATCCTGCTACTTCTATCACTAGTCACATCATCAATAAGTTGGCAGCCTTACATGCCTATGCCATAAATGTTCCTTTCTTTCCCCATATTTTTCGCTTTCTGTGGCTTTTCAGTCCTTTTGGTGTTGCTGAGCTGGCTAATGTGTTTATACCACATGGGTCATTTGGCCTCTTCTAATGTTTTGGCTGTTTCTTTTGATTTTAGATTTAGTCTTTGATTTTCTTTCATCATTCATTTATTAGTTGCTTTGTAATATCCTTTTATGAATACATAAAGATTATAAATAGAGATATTAAAAGATAAATAATCCCATAAATTAGGATGGTTCCATTTATCTCTTGGCAGATATTTAATCAAGGAGTCGTGTCATTCAGAACTGTACTGTATTGCTTCACATCACAAGGCTGTAAGTCTGAAGAGATCTTTCCCCTTGATCTAAAAGGAGCACCAGAGCTTTTGTGTTGGGGGTGGTGATTGACAAGGATGTGCTGGCTGGGGGTGGGGGGCAGAGAGCTCAGTTATAAAAGAGGAGATAAGGTACCCACTGATTGTAGAGTGCTGCCATTCTTCCTGATGTTAGCTTGAAAATACTGAAGAAATTGTTCTTTTCCAAGGAAGCAGAGAATTCAACAATGGTGGAAGACAGTTGTCTACAGCTCATAACAGGGTTACAGATGTAATGTTTTGACTAATGTACAAGAGGACGTTACCTTTAATAGACAATTTAAACTTACATTTTCTATTTTTGGCATTCTGTAATCTGGAATGTAGATTTGTTCTTTTGAACTCTTGTTCCATGTGCTTTTTACAGCAGTGTTTCTCCCGCTTAAGACAGTAGACCGTTTAAAACACAATAGCCCTTCAGTATCAGTTTGCTAAAACACATTCCAGTTCATATTGTTGTGATTTGATCTTTTTTAAGGTTGTGTGCAAAAAGCAGATGCCAGAGAAGGGTCTTCCTGCAACCATTGTTTATCTTTGCTCATGCACTTCCTGAATTTTTTGGCCACCGTTCCCCCTTGCTCATCTGTTGCACCCGCCTTTGTATTTCTCAAAAAACCTGACTGGCAAAAAGAGCTTTAACGAAATAGGAAATGACTCACTAGCACTGAAATGCAATAGTTTCTCATTAGAAAAAATGTCCATGTAATGACAACACCTCAAATTACTCATTTAGAGGAGGCATATTGGAAAGTACGGTGTTCATTTTCTATATCCAGTTATAGAATGTATAGATTTAGATTAAATCAATCATTGTTAATAATTCTCAGCTTGCTTCATTCCTGTTATGTGAACACTAAACACTGACTGCAGACATTTTTGTGTTTTCTCTGTTAATGGCGATTTAGGTTGCGCACCATCACTCAGACACTTAGTGAGCCGAAGCTAGCAAACACTCTGAGTGGCTCTTAATGTCTTCTAAAGTTCAGCTTTAAGTTTTCCACTTGTTGCAATTGCAGTCAGTCTCTAAGTGTTGCTTTAAGGTAGCTGAGCATCGATTAGTCACTTAGTTCTGTTGTTTACAAGCATGTCGACTTGACATTTTTGTTTTCTCCCATCACAAAATGGTCCTGTAGACTTGGTATCTGCTGAGCTGCAGGGAGTAAACGAGGCTGCTGATTAAAACCACACCAACCACACATGTTAAATTATAAGTAGGAAACAACTGTTTTTATTATGATATCAGTACATTTCTATATACACACAGTAATAAAAACGCAGTCTTAGTAGCACAATGAATTGTTTACAAGTATGACTTCTTTCATTTTGCACACGGCAAGTCTTTCCCTTGATTGCTTGAGCAAATTTGGACTTTCTCAGTGGAAAAAAACAAAAAAAAAAACAACAAAAAACACGACTGTGTTTGCTGCTAACAAATTAATTTACAGATGAATAAATAAGAACATTGCATTGTATTCCAATACTAGTGAACAATCATTTTGAACACACAAGACATTTTTTAAAGAAGCTGAAGTCTCTTTCAGGAAGCAGGTTTACAAACTCTAAGCTTACCCTGAACTCTGAACTGATAAACCCTGAGATAGGGTTAAAAAAAAAAGCTGGTTCAATCGATGGGGACAGAAATAAATAAAGCGAATAAAATATGGATATGAGGTTGTGCCTAGGTTCAAACTAGCTAGGTTTCATTTGACGTAGACGTGACGTCGACGTAAAGCGCGAAATTTGACTGGCGGTCGGAAGTGAAAAAGATAAGCGCAAAATCACAGACAGACAGTAAGCAAAATGCCTATGTCCTGTTGTGTTTACGGATGCTCCAGTAGGTCGACCCGAGAAACTGATAAACGGTATTTTAGGGTACCAAAAATAGCCCAACGAAGAGGAGAAAAATGGAAAATTCTAACCGAAAAACGTAGGAAAAAATGGATTTTAAATTTACGTTTACAGTCGGGAGGAGCAGAGTCTGCCAATGCCCGTGTCTGCAGCGACCACTTCGTCAGAGGTAATGTTATGTTTGCAAACGAACTTATTAGCATTAGGTTGTCGTTAAATTCTCGTTTACTTAGTGCTTTTAAGTTAGTAGTCTAATATTGACTTGATTGGGACTATAGGCTGCCCAAGTGCTTTGGATGACGAAGAGTCGGAGGACTGGGCTCCGACGGTCAATCTCGGCTACGAACGAAAACCCAGATCGGAATCAGTTCTCAAACGAGAGAAAAGAATGAAGCTTAAGGCAGAACAGCATCGATGTGCAGAGGCGATTTTGGATATGCAACAGACGGCTACCCTGCCATACAATTGCAATGAGCTGCAATCACTTCTCCATCCTCCTTTGCAATTACCCAAGTCTTCAGAGGTGTCTCGTTAGACCTCTGAGAATGGTTTACCTTGAAACAAACAACTGTCACTCTAACGAAGTCCTAAGGATGTGGCATGTTTGTTGACGTTAAAGCCGCTACCGCTAACTGTTAGCGTGTTTAAGATAAAGCAATATAAGAGCAAACACTCACCCTTGCAAACACCAAACTGTATCCATCACGGAGACGTTTTGTTCCAAGGTTGTGGACCCACCCGCTGACAAAAAAATTGTACGCCTCCAGACTCTTGAAAGCTTTCATTTGCTGCCTAGTGTAGTAAGAAGTCTGGAGGACCAAGTAGTTGGTGATATCCACAGCCTCGATAGTAGGCAAATCCTTTACTTCTGTGGTGTATTCGGACATTTTCAAAGAATACGGATCACGTCCGATATATTTTTTAACTATCTGTTTATATCTCTCCCGAGAAACGGGGTCTAAAGTTGCACAATAGCTGCTCTCCTGACTCTCCACAGTGTCCTCCATGTTTACTTCCGCCCTCCACTCAAAAATCGCGCTGCCTCCGCGCGTCATCAGAACCACGTGACCGCAAACCCAGCTATTCTTAGCTATGGGCTTTAGATTTAATGATAGTGAGCCGATGTATTTAAAGTTTGTAAATATCTCAACATGTAATGCTGTCAGACCATACTAAACCAATATCAGCTTATATGTAAAAACTCACTTTTAAACTATAGCTAGTTTATTTTTAGAGTCTTAGTCATTTCATTTGCAGCTCTACTGACATGTATTTACACAATCATGTAATCATGAACATGATTCACTCCTCATTACATGACACATGTTTAATGAATGAGTATTTGATGTGTCTAAATGTTGATACAAATTGGTGCTAAACTGTGATTACTACAGTAATGCAAGGTAAATGTTCCAGTGCTTTGAAGTGGTTCACAACCTGACAGGCGCCTAAATGTCCACACAGTCATATTTATTAAGGCGTATCTGTCTGGGAATCCAAGGCCCTTCTTTAGGGAGAAACTCCTGGACAGATTTTTTAAAGAAAACCTACTGTTGACTTTTTCTCTTGTGACAGGGTTAACAATGTCAGCTATTTTACTAAACCTGCTTTCTGAAACAGACCCCAGATGTATTATGTACAATACTGAGTGGTTCCAAGTGGAGTGTTAAGTATCGATGTGTATGAGTGGTAATACTGAAGAGGAAAAGTAAATGTCACCAAAACTGTTTCACAGTAAACAAAGACACAGCCAAATTCAAGTAAAACAGGATTATGCCAAATCAAAACAATGAAATCCCCTTGCTTCTTTGACAAGGGGAGTTTTACATAATTCCACTATTATCCTATTAAATGTAACAAAAAAGAACAAGCTGTCTCTCCGAGTAAAAAGATAGCTTTAAGTTAATAAACAGCAAATCAAAATCAAATACATCAGGAAGTCTGTACTCAAAACATGTCAGTGTATATTCATGTGAAAATCCACAAGTATAGTAAACTATGCAAGACAACGGTCCTTTGCAATTAATTGTTCTATTTCTTTAAGGACAAATAATATACAGCCCTTAACTATGATAATATCTCTGAGTAACACAGACATAACAAATATTTATGTTCTCACAATACCCAAATTTGGCAACAGCAGGCAGGACTAAAGAATGCCGCCCAAATGTGCAAACCATGCCAATCAAAGCAACTGATTAGACTCTGTGATTGTACCATTATTTCAACCCTCAAAGCTTACACTTGACTTTCCTGTAACAGCATTCGATTCAGGAAAAGCTCCCTCACTCTGGATTCCTGTATTGCTCCACTAATATTCTTACCTGTACAAAAAAAAGCATTCAGCATAAGATAAAGAAAGGTATATCTTCTACTAGCTGTGCAATATACATCAATGCTCATGCATTGTTTGTGATGACTTGTTTTTATGGAGCCCATGTAAAGCTGTCTAGAACACTCGCTGTCTATCTTCTGGCATCTGCTTTTATGTGGCACAGTCTGGGGATAAACCTGATTGCTCCCTTCTTACCCAAATCTCATCCTTCTCCTTCTGATTTTGATCCTCCGTCTTGTCATTGATCATGGTTCTCTGCTTCGCCATGTCAGATGTCTCACTGGCTGTTGGGGATTTAATCTTCTCTCTTTCCACACCCTCCAAGGTCAAAGCCATGACTGGGGCCTCCAGGTCAGTCTCAATGGACGCAGGTGTTGGTGTCTGGCAGAAGTCGTTGTCGTCGTCGTCGTCACTGAGGATGTCAGTTTCCTTCACCTCTTCTTGATCTTCGTATTCTTCTAGGTCGAATTGTTCTTCCACCCAGCGGTCTGTGTCACCTGCCAAGTCAGACTGCTGCTGCTGCTGCTGATCTGGTTCCTCATCCTGCTGGGACCGTTTTGAGCCAGGCTCCTCTGGTGAAACGAGGTCTTGCTGTTCAGGATCACCATCAAAAACAATATCCGTGTCTATGGTGAAACGGTTGCGCACTAACTTCCTTCGGCCGAGAGTCCTAGTCGGGGCAGATGCTGCAAAACCCCAGAACATCAGAGAGATAAATTATTATGATCTTACTACTTTGAGTACATCCCTTTGGAGTTTGGTTGAAAGTAATTATCTTCCTACAATACTGGTTAAAACCTTAAATGAAAAACTCAGGATAAAACCACAGGATTCTGCCTGTCTGTCAAAAATAAATTGTGCACTTGAAGCTGTTGGGTTAATGCATCTACAGACTGGCATTTACCTGCTCTATTTATAGTGGGGCGGGCTCCCTTCAGAGCACACAGCCGTTTTCCTCCAAAGGGTACATACTGCTGGTTGAGTGGTAAGCTCTCTGTTTTTAGGAGCTGCCGGCGATGCTTTTCTCGCAAGATGGAGTGGACTGTCTTCACAAAGTCTTTTCTGCTCTCCGGAGAGCTGAGAAAGGTAGACAGTTTGTCACTTCATTAGATAGCAGACTGGACTTTATCAGTAGTGGGCAAGCTGTAATCTGCAGTGTAATTGAACCTCCTTTAGCAGAAATCCTCACCTGCAGCACAAGTGAAATGTCCTTTCTGGTCTTCCTTCTGACTCCGATTTTGTGTGGATAATCTCACACACAGCAGAGCCCTCGCCATCTGAGGGAGAAATCATCACTAATGTCTCATATACGTAGAAATCTGGTAATATATTGTGAGATAATCATTAGTCGGACTGAAGCTAGAACTAGTGTGCTACTAAAGTTTGTAATCTACTATACCTGCATTGGTCATAGACCGGACTTGTAGGGCATCAGTTGGAATCATGTGACGGAATCTGAAGGGATCTTTTTCTTCAGAAGATACAGAGACCCGGTGGGAACCTCCCTTCAGTCAAGTAAAGAATTTTTGTTTTTGTTTTTACAGACGAAAAATGGTCCACAGGAAAGGCAAGTCAACAATGTGTTTGCGATTGGGGTTTGGTGTTGCTGATGGAATCCTGTTTTTGTGAAAACCTACCATTTTCTTCTTCTGCTTGGACCCCTCCTTGCAAACAAAGACCACTGCTGTTTTGAACACTAGAAAGCATTGGTAGAAAAAAAGACTTAGTAATCACTGGGGTTCAGGTCACATGTCAAATCAACATATGTAACTTTGAAGTTAACAACAGGTCTGTTCATTAAAAACTACATAGGAAGGGTTACTGGTCTCTTTTTTGTGCACAATTGTGAACAATTCTTGCTAAAATGAAAAGACTTTTTTGTTTATTTATATGTTTTAGTTCATTTTTACTCTTCTGTAAAGCATCCTTGGGGTTATCCAAACCTTAGTTAATATTATTATTAGTACCATTGTTGTTATTATTAATACTATATATGGTCAGAAGTCGGGGGGGCAACTAATACACATGGGGTTTTTTTAGCCTGTCTGACTACTCAAAGCACTTTAGACTACCTTTTTTTACAGCACTACATTTTTACAGCACTTTATTCTAGACCAAGTACTTGGTCTACCTCACATTATTGGGGAATTCAGAATCACCAGTTAACCAAACATGCCTGTCTTTGGATGTGAAAGGAAGCCAGAGAGCCTAAAGAAAACCCACACGGGCAAAGGAAGAACATGCAAACTCCACACAGGGAGACCTTAACTGACTAAGCTTTCTCATTGTGAGGCAACAGTGCTAACTATTGCACTGCTATGCAACCCACATTACAGTTAACTGAAATGTTGTCAAATGCTGCTAATCTGTCACTTATGGAGTGTAAGGCATTTGAATTTTTCCATAATTACTAGGCAGTTCTTTCCAAAATGTGCCCTGATGCATGTGCACGCTTTACACAACGTGTGTGACTGTGCCATCACAGTCAATTTGTCATTTTTCCATCAGATGTTTTGACATTTTTAGATGGAATCCAAACAGCATACATACACTTATTATTCATTTATTACATAATCAACAATCCTGCCATACCAAATGTAGCCATCTGGGGTTCTTTTTTCCATTTTCCTAAGGAGGCAGGTGGGTTAATCCATGTCACAGTGTTGTGGAGAAGCAGATCGCCCATTGACAGATCAGCAACCTGGTAATTGGAACGAAATAATCAACCAATCTGCTCCAATTGCGTGTCATTTTTGGTTAACATAACAGAACCAAGCCAGGTTTCTCCGATCTACCTCTTTCTTTTCACTGCTCTGCTCTGTGATAAGCTGATCAAACACAGCTCCAAACTCCTCGTGGATCTTCTGCATTTCATTGATGTGGCTGGCAACCTTGTTCATGGCTTTCATGGCAACTGCAGTCCAGCACAAATCGCGTTATGAGGCGGGTTGTTGGGATTGTACATATTTTTGAGATCTGCTATAAGAATTTGTCTTACCGTCGAGGTGGTAATGTTCCTCACTGTCTGGGTCTGTGAGCGAGAAGAGCTCCTTCAGCAGGAGGGGATACTTGAGAACCCTCTGTATGGGTTTGATTAGGTAAGACTCCAGTGTGGAAGAGTGCTGCTGCTTGGGGTTTCGTTCATCCAGAAAGGCCTTAAAATTGGGGTCAGTTTTGGCTGGAATGACCAAAAAAGAACACTTAGTGAAATGCCTCCATAGGTTACCTATTTACCTACTTTTAATTATCCTCTATGTAACTGATAAACATTGGATTCCTAGTATTTTCACTAATGGTCTATTCAATTCAATTCAATTTTATTTATATAGCGCCAAATCACAACAAAAGTCAAGGCGCTTCATAGATACAGAGAAAAACCCAACAATCATATGAACCCCTATGAGCAAGCACTTTGGCGACAGTGGGAAGGAAAAACTCCCTTTTAACAGGAAGAAACCTCCGGCAGAACCAGGCTGAGGGAGGGGCGGCCATCTGCTGCGACCGGTTGGGGTGAGATCTATAAGTTTGTTGTCTGCTTGCTTATGTTTAGCCTGATATTATGCAGATTACTGGCGTACAAGCATGCTTTGTCTTGCATTAGAGATTAGAAGCCACATCAAAAGGTCTGAATTGTTTTGTTTTTACAGAAGGGTCATTTTTATCGAACAGCAGCTAAACATGAGTGGGCAGAACAAAAATCTGTTTACTGTTTCAAAAAAAAAAGAAAAGAAAAACAAAACAGCTTTATTCTAATAGCACCTCCTTAACAGTGTGGCAGATAACCAGTTGACTCACTGAATGTAAATGCAGAAAACAAAGCCATCCAGTCAAGTCCTGAAGGGAGTGGGTGTACTAGCTTAGAAGACAGTGTTCGAGACTGCTCATTATATACCATACATTTGTGCAAAGCTTTTAGCCCTGGGAGCCTAAATGCATCCTTTCTCCTTAAGGAGGGCTGCATCTCTGAAGCACATTTACTCACCCTTCACGAGGACCTTAGGGACTTTGGTGTGGCTGGCGCAGAAAGCACTGTAGATCTTAAACCGGTCTGCATAGTACAGGAAAGAGCCTCCGAGGGAGAAGAGGATTTTCTGTAAAAAGGAGTCACACAACCAGTAATTCAAAGACTTTGTCGGGTCTTTAAATACCTGTTGCTAGTCTTTTGCTGTATATTTCAAAGAATAAGTGCATACCTTAAACTGATCCACTCTCTCCAGTTTCTCCAAATCAGGAACCAGTCTCGTCCCGTCTTCCAGAGTCTTGAGAAACTCGACTTGGAACTCCACCATTTCTGGCAAGTTACCAAACAGAACATCCAGCTGAAAGAAAAATTATTTGAGATGAGATTTAAATAAAGAAAGAATTTTAACACCTTCCAGTGCATTTCAAAATATTATTTTTATTAATCACTTGCTACCAGTTAAACCACAAAAATGTCCAAAAATTGAATATAACCAAATGAACCTCGTTGTTGAAAGTGCAGATAAAACATGTTATTTTCAAACATCCCATCTCTCTCACACATCATCCAACCCTCTTGTCCTCACACAGAGCTGCACTTCACATGATTATGTAACCTACTTTTCTTAGAACATTTCAACAGTACTGGCATTTAAAAGCCTGGACCCCATAAAGGCACATGGGGAGCATTTGACATACCTCATCCTGAGTAAGGAAGGTCTCTTTCTGCAGTGGGGTTAAATATCTCCCAATGAGGCAATTGAGATCCTGCAAGAAAACCATGAAAAAGAGTCGGTAAATTGTGCTTTACTCAGGTTTGCCTTGTGCCACCGTGTGAAATATGGACACACACAAAAAAAATGCATTTTTAAATAAGGCTTTGACATTTTTAACAAATCAACAGGTATAGAAAGGTATAGTCAGACACCAGGACAAATAAGTAATTCAAGCTCAAACCAAAAGCAGCTGGTGGGCGCCTTTTTCTTCAGAAAGAACGGCTATATGGAAACCAAATTAAGTAGATGACTCTGGTAATACAAACGTGAGCTGAAATGTAGAAAGCCTAAGAAATGAACAAATGCCTGGCAATCAAAAGTAACATGAGACTGACTCCAAATGACGTGCTCAAACTTGTAGCAAACAAAACACATTATGTGGTATTGCATTAAAGCTTTGTCAACTTGAAATCAAAACCCCTTCAAGTGTTTTGCCTGTATTTATTGCATTAGCAACACAACTGCAACTCCTACTACAAGACACACAGACATAAAAATGCACCCACATGTCTGTTTGAACAATACACCATCAGTCACTTGCAGTATAATTTCTATAATAACTATATCTGTGGCCCGTAAAATAGGGCATAACATTTTAGTTAGTCTAAATTATTCCATTATATAGCATCGCTAACCCAGTTATTCCACTGAGCCATATTTATACTGGGCTGAAAAAGATTAGGCAATATCCAAGCAAGGGCACAGCTGTGTCCTGCTCATATCTCCCGAGACACAGAGATAAATATGGATAGGTCATGTTGAATGGGTAATGTGGAAGCCTAACACGACCTAAGGCAGACAGAAATATCGATCGATGGACAGGAGGAACATGCACACTCACAAACACCATCTGCCTCCTACAAGTAAGATGAGTGATACTGACTTTGACATAGGTGCGTTCGGTCTCCACGAGTTCACAGATGACTTTGCGGAGCTTGTCGGCATCAGAGAGCTGTCTGGGAGTTGCAGGAGGTGGAAAGGGCGATTCCGGGCTCGGCGAAGAGGACACACACTCCAAGGAATTCATGTCATGGAGACTGCGGCAGAAAGCGGCGACCTGCTCCGTACTCTGCAAGAAAGGGGGGGAAAACAACCAAAAAAAGATGAGCGTTTCAAAGGCAAGAGTGATAAAATCCTTCATAAAAGAAAACGGCAATGTTCACAAAGGTGGGAGCCGCAAACATTAGGAAGCAGATGCCACTTTCTACCTACTGTTGTGCACACATCCATGACTGTACAGCAACTGAGCCTGGAAAGAGGCAGTGAGGCAGCTCTAAAAAAAAAAATCATTTGCACTAATTTGGTCTATTTTCAGTCTGTCATAACAATGACTTTCCACCTCCCTCTCACTCACATCGCTCTTTTCCCTGGTGTTTTCCTCCTACTGATGGATCGGTGGTGTAATGATTCAGCTCTTTCACAGAATCAAAATATACACACAACGGTGTCTGTCCACATACAGTATGGGTTGCCGTGGTGACCAGCGCTGATGTGCATTAGACTATCATTTTGGGTAAAAAATAGACCCCACTCAGTAGCAGCCTACATGGCTGAACTAGTACTTGTTACTTTGGCCACAGCCTCAGCATCCATAAATATAAACTGGCATTTTGGCTTTTAAAAAAAAAAATCAATACAAACACAAAGCAGAAAGCACAAAGAGCATAAATCATATCCATCAAAGCCTTATTCACTCTGTGAGGCCAGACTTCATTTGAAAGTACATGATAAAGATCAAATGAGACAGTCACATAACAGGGACCACTAGGAGCTGTAGTCATTATTGAGTTCATAACTGGAAGCTGAGAGATGTGTGCTTTGTTTTATATGGAGTTTTACAGGCTGGACAGAAACAATTTGTCCTCTCACACCTATAGGCTCCCCTGTGAAATACTGAGATTATACATCAACATAGCTGCAGAGGATGAAAGGTTGTGGTTCTCATATTAGAAAACCCAATTATGATCTTAGCTGCTGTCAGTCTTCACATCTAAACTTTGTTTTTAGTTTTAGACAAACAAACATAAGGATTCTGCTGTCTCTGAAAAGCAATGCGTGTGCAATTTTTCCCAATATTTACCAAAATGCTGATGAAAAACGGCCATAGTCCTGATGTTCTTTGCCGTCATTCACAAAAATATGATGGAAAAATGCAAGAGCGAGAAGAACAGAGTACAAGAAGAACACTATTATCCAGCAACTGTTACAGATATTCCCGGGCAGCTTTGCAAATGACCGTGGTTATCAGCTTTGTTATCTAATCAAAGAGACATTGATATGTGAGGCACGACAGCCATTTGTTCCTCTTGACAATGTTCCCAAATTAAGCAGGCAGCTCTCACACAAACAGATGAACTAGGAGGTGCTGTGTCTGTAAATGCAATGTTGCAAATGGATCTTACACTAATTCACAAATGCTTTGTGATTTGTTAGATGTGATATTTTTTGGTCAGAGTGAACACAACACATACTTTGTAAGTAAAACCAACTGGATGTAGAGAGTGATTTAGTTAAAAAAATTAAATAAAAGTTGTTTTTTTAAAAAGCTGAAACTTACAGCTGATGATATGTAAGGTCCAGTACATTACACATAAAATTGAGCATGAAATGCTAGATGGAAATGCACAAACAGATTGCAAGAGTGCAGAAAAAGGGGAAAATTCAAATCTGTTTCTTTTCTGAACATTTTGCAAAGTTTTACTAAGCCTAGTAAGACAGTCACAGTCAAGACATGCTCTTCACAATCTAGGCTAATTAACACTATGACAGCTTTGGGTGCTTGGACACTTATGACATGTTAGAAAGGAGAGAAAGTACAGAGGGGGAGAAAAAAGAAAATCACAGGCTTCTGTATCTATTTAAAAGAACAATGTGTAAATGTAAAAACCTGTCACAGATATATTTTTTAATCTATATTTTATTTGCTGGGGGAAATAAACTACTTCAAAGCATAAAAGCATGGCGTAAGGAGAAGACCGCATGTCTGTTCTCTGAAACTGAAGCCCGATATCGCAGCTTAAGGTGCTAAGAGAGAAACTCAGAAATAGTCAGTAGATTGTCCAAGTCGCATAAAGTCCAAGTCATCTGCAGTAAGACTTGTAGAGCATGGGCTCCTATATGCATCTCCTGGAGCATTCCAGTGATTATGGGGCAACTCTGCGGCGGCAGTGACTCACAGCTTCCTGCCATTGGTCTACAGCAGCCAGCGAGAGGTGTGAAACTAACACTGAGAAGGACAGGTGATTTTGTTTTTCTTCTCACTGGAATGAGACAACAGCTATCACAGCAGCACCAAGAATTAAGCAGGTAAAAAAAACGACGTGCATGAAAGAAAAGAGGCTCACCAGATGAAGCATGTCATAGATGGAGTCTGTGGAGCGCTTGCTGTGCTTGCTCCACTTCAGGATAGACATAGCCGGGTGCAGATAGACAGCCAGCGTCAGTTAAAGTACCAGAGAGAAAACAAAGACTCCGGGCTTTAGAAAGAGCAAAGTCTACACTGTGTCTCTCCAATACATTTCTGAGCCCTTTTGTCTTCCCTGGTTTAAAAAAAAAAAAAAAAAAAAAAACAGGAGAAGATGCTGTGGTGCTTGTGATGAAGGATGAGTGGAGCTGCTCAGCCTCCTCCTCTCCGCCCACCAGCACTTAGAGCCTTCCAACTCCCCTTCTTTTGCTCCTTCACAGTCTGCTGTAGCTTTGTCACCAGTACTCTGCTGTTTTCTCTCTCTGGCTCTCTCTCTTCTCTACAGGCTGGGTAAACTTAGGCACACTGTGTGAGTGTGAAGATCTGGTCAACTCTAGCAGCATTGTAAATTAGTCTCGATAATCCTCCAGACCGGGGAGAGAGCAAAGGAGCAGGAGGGAAAGAGTCTCCTCCTCAAGGCTGCAGTGGAGCAGGATTGACTGGGTAAGCCACGCCGCAGTAGAATACAAATGCAGGATTTCAGGAAAAGGGGAGAGGGGAGCTGCTGAGGAGCAGGCTAGAGAGGGGGTGAACTGCCGTGGAGCATTTAACAAGTAAGAAAAGAAGCAATGGTCCCTGTGATTAAGTTACAAGCTCTGAAAATGCCATAGCAGTGAAGAAGAAAAATACACACTTGCTGTTTTCACCAAACATCCAGTCCCCCCCCTGCATAACAACTGAATTGCATGACTTGCTTTCCACTGTCTGTCCTGTTTGACTCAGTCAGTAATTTCCTACTTTCCCAGAATGCCCCACATAAAGACTCCACATTTGTCATTGAGAGATGGGAGTGTACAGCTAAACAGTTTAGAGGCTGTTATTCAGATCACAAAATGATGCCGCACTGAGTTCTTCTCTATTGAGCCTGTAGCCAGCACACACAAATTGGCATCGCTGAGAAATGATGTAGGTGGTCTGTGCCAAAGTCCTTGCTTTGAATATGTAGTACGTAATGAGGTTATGTTGCACATAGCTTTTATAATAACAAGACAGAAAAACAGTGATAGTACTTTGCCCCATAAAATAATTAGAAATCTATGTGTTTTTCATAGCACAAAATACAATCTTACAAAGGTTAGGCCGGCTATCTATATCTGACAATGACTGAAAGTAGGAAGTCGTTGATCATCTTTTCAGCTGTTGTCATACAAAGTCATGGTGTGCACAACAACACCAACTAATATTTTTATATCACTTTGTTAAGCCACTCCTGAGCCGATTTCAAGAAAACGTATAGACATGTTTCAGATACGAGGACATAAATCTCAGCTTTTCTTTGCTTTGAGGTTTTTCACAGGGCCATCTTTTTAATGATTCACATACCGTCAATGCTACACAAAGAAAAAAGCGAGTTCTGATCTCACAAAAGGAACCTATCGGTTAATTTTCAAACAGAAAGCCCAAAGGAGAATGAAAGCAATCAATGTTTTTTTAAAGAAAAAAATAGCTGAAAAAGCAGTATTTAACAGAGCAGATCACAATCTTAACCACAGATTTTGTCCTTCAGTTTACTCATAATCTAGACTCGTTTTCCTCATCCCTATAATATCATTAATAATTACAAAGGCAGTTACAGAGCTGCACTTGATTAACTGCTGCTCATTAAGCAAGACAAGTTCAACGGCGTGATTAAAGCAGACAACGTATAAAGAAGCAGTCATGTAACCAGCTCTGAATTTGAAGGGTAAGTAGGATGTCTGAGGATATCACATTGATCCTTGGAGCTCTTGCAGTGAGCTCCCAATTTAACCGGGTACAATGAGAAATGATGTCGTTATCAAGTGTTGTCATAAGAGATGAGAGATAAACTAATCTACAAGAGCACATCAGTGCTTTCATTCAGCATTTCATGAGCAAGTGCCCAGTGATCCTTTGAAGTCGGTTACAGAGAGCAGATTAAGGACTGCCGCTTTAACTATTTTTTCGCCTTTCTTCTTCTTCCATTTTTTTCGAATTAGACATCTTTGTTAGTCATAGCACTTTAACAGCAACACGTGGGTCTTTGAGACTTATTTGCTTGTCTTGGCAGTAGTGCTCTGTGCTTTCTTTTTTAAACTTGTCTCTGTTCATTTATAGCTAAAAATGAATCCACCCCCAGTTATTACCTGGTCCTACTAACCTCGCATAATCAAGCAATAACAATGCAAGCTTAATCAAACCCATCCATCACTCGGCTGTTTCATTCAAAGCAAATCAGTTGTCCTGTCCTTTGTCTCCAGTGCATAAGATACACTTCATGCAGCAATGATGAGATATATTTGTATTTAGGTCCCTTTGATTTAATCATGTCAGAAGCTATGAAATTCCATTAGAGTTGTGTGTCATGGAGGGAAAAGAGAAACCTGATACAGATTGTGTTGAGAAGCATGGGGTTAACACCCTCATGTTGATTATAGATGCTGCTCTGCTTTCATAAACAAGATAAAATGAGCCAGTAACAGATGGTGAGTCAAACTGTGGCAAAGCGAAATGCCTGTGAGTGCTTTTTCATAATACCAGAGCTAAGAGGTGTGCTGTAAAGAACAAGGACGGAAAAGAAGCATAGGCGCTGCAATATTACACGAAAGCTTGGTTGTCAGATGTTTTCTGTGATGACAATAAGAATAATAATAATAAAAGTGATGATAAACATTGTGCTCTTACCTTTGTGCACTCGTCGAACTCACTGAAGATCTCAGAGTCGTCATCCAGGCTGTCTCCTGAGCTCTCCAGAAACAGTCCAACTCCATCATCCAGGATTTCCTCTGAGAGAAACAAAACAGTCATGTATATGCGACACAAAAGCCCCCCCCCTTCTTTAGATTAGATTAATACATTTACTTGCCTTGTCATTTTATTACGATTTAAGACCTTCCTAAACTAATCCACTAAGCTAACTGCTCAGAATGTCCTATTTTTCCTCATTTAAATCCAGTAAATCTGTTGCGTTTGCATTAATGAAACTGATGTCGCTAAGGATGATGGTCTGAAAGTCAGTTCTTCTTGCATGGAAATTAAATATACGCTTGAGATTTGCCTACTTGCATGCTTCTGATTCATTTACATGCCAGGTGAGTACGTAAACATCACCACACTGTGAGCATCTGATGGCTTTGATACGCTTTAGATTTGTGGGAATTGAATTTAAACTGTTCATTAACCTCTGCTAATTGGACCTATAAACATGCAAGGATGGAAGCACCAGTGGCACTTTAAATTAGTAAGTGAAATACAGTACTGTGCAAAAGTGTTGAGCCATCCATCATATCTTTATGTTTGGCTTCCAAGAAGCTGGATTTTCTTGTAATTCATTAAAGTGGTCTTGCGCAGTCATTCTTCACACTTTCTGAAAGTTGAGATCTTTCTGTGGGCATTGGCTGCTTTTTCATCCAATCCCTGTACCTGACCATTTTCAGGAATCTACATTTTTTGTTAATGTGGCCCTCTTAATCTGTCCTACAAAGATGCAATTGTATTTCTGGACCAAAATTGTGATTCCAAAATAGCTGTTATCCAAAAACTTGGCATCTCTCTGCATGGTGTACAGCGTAGCCTAAAAAAAACCCCAAAAACAGAGCAACTGCACAAGTGGAGGAAAAAGCGGCATGCCTAAAAATCTATGTACAGTAGGTGAAAGTCTTCCAGAAACAGGAAAAAAAATTCAGCACAAATATGAGGACCAGAGAGATGAATCTGGTCCTTCATTTGATCCATCTGCTCCTCACTAAAGCCTAATCGGAAATGGTCGTAGAAGTAGAAGGGTGGGCATCAGGGAGAAAAAGGCAGACTTCAGAAAATCAGTGGCAGCGGATCTTATGAAGTGAATGAATGTACATGTATATGGAGAAGGTCAGGAAAAAGGTACATCAGAAAGTGTCTACAGGCATCTATGAAACAGTGGCGGCTCTGTGGTGGTTTGGGGCTGCATTTCAACTAGTGATGTTGGAAATTAAGAATTTAGGAAAACACCATCAGATACCATCATTACGCATTTGGAAAGTGTCTTAACGGCAAGAGCTTCATTTTTCAGCATGACAGTGATCCCAAACATACTGTTAATTCAACAAAAGCAAACCTGGATAGAAAAAACACACAATGGAAAACTACCAGCCATGGATTGGCCTTCCCAAAGCTTGGGCTGCAACAAATATTGTGACAGAGAAAGAAACCAAAAGCAGCCAACATCGAAAGAAGAGCTTTAAATGTCCTTCAAGCCTGGAAAGCCTGGAACTATTCCTGAAGACTACTTAAAGAAATTAAAATAAGCTTGGCTAAGAGACTTCAAAAGAAAAGAAAGAAAAGAGTTCTGTGCTAAAGAATAAAGGAATTCAAAGCAAATATTGACTTTCAATCCTGTTGGAATTTATTGACTGTAGTATCGTTTATGTTTGCATATATTTCAGTAAATCACTGCACTTTTTTCCCCAGCAAAAGAAAGAAAAGGTTGACTAAACTCCACACAGCACTGCATAATGTTAAAGTATACCATTTGTGTCTTTTTTCCTTTTACCTTGACTTTGGGAGAAAATGTCAGTGTAGAGATCCTCCTCTGCATCTGAGCGGCGTGGCGGCAAGTAGCAGAGCTGACGGCGGTCCACCGCAGGCAAGGTGTTGACTGTCAGAGCCAGTGAAGCCTGAGAGAATGCTGCTTTCATGTCAGAGAAATTAAGACTATGGGAGTCTTTTCCATTTAACTGAAGTATTTCATCCCCTGCGTTCAGACCTGCAAAAACATGCACAACCAGCTTTCAGCATCAGCTCCAGTTTACGGTCTCCTGTTCCTTCATTTACTAAAAAAAATGTTCTCTAATATCAGATCGTAATGACCTAATCTTTAGCAATAATCAAACAACTCCTGCTTGAAATGTTCAAATGGTGTTTTAAGTAAAATGTATTTGTATAGCGCTTTACTAGTCCCTAAGGACCCCAAAGCGCTTTACACAACCAGTCATCCACCCATTCACACACACATTCACACACTGGTGATGGCAAGCTACATTGTAGCCACAGCCACCCTGGGGAGCACTGACAGAGGCGAGGCTGCTGGACACTGGCGCCACCGGGCCCTCTGACCACCACCAGTAGGCAACGGGTGAAGTGTCTTGCCCAAGGACACAACGACCGAGACTGTCCAAGCCGGGGCTCGAACCGGACAAACTCCCAACTCTTGAGCCACAATCTACAACTTTGGAGACTGTTGTTTTAATTTCAGCCCCACAGGCATGACCCGTTTCTCTATTTTTTGTGAAATATTAGCCAGTAACACATTAACACTTGTTGTCCAACATCAGTCATAATTGTTCTGGGATCAATGCTCTTTATCTTTATTTTGACATCATTCAGCTCTTCAGCTTCATTACAGGAGAGCCAGTGTGAAGCAGCCGTTGTTAAGTGTCAGATTCAACATAATTCTTCATAAAGGCCAGTGAGAGGCATGATTATAGTAATCAGCACCCTTGAGAAGTGTTGTGTCCTCTAAAACCTTCTCTACCTGTTGAATAAACGTGCTAATGCATTTTTCGAAAGAGAAACCAAGCAGGAGATGAAAACTCTCCTGGCCTTGATGTGAGAAAATGGAGAAGCACTAAAAACAGCTAAGGCAACCTGCATTGTTTATATTTTCCTTTAAAGTGTGGCTTATTAGATACAAAGTGTGTTTAGGAAGAGTTCTTTCAGTAGAAATGAAGGATAATTAACCTTTAGCAAAGGCTAATCCCCCTGCCTTTACATCGGTGATGTAGAGCTGCTGTACTCCATCCTCCTCCACCACCGAAATGGAGAAACCTGAACACAAAAGGGAAATGTGAAGAGAAAGAAAAGCAGAGAGAGAGAAAATGTTGGTATTAGCCAAGCATCAGAGGGACAAATAGGGATGGTTAACAAAAGGTCAAAGAAAATCAATTCTTATGCTGAAGAAAACAGAAATACGAGTCTTTAACACTGACTTCATTGCAGCATTCTAAATAAAGATAGAAAATTATTCTTACCGTAACCAATCATGCAGGATTCATCTCTGTCAAACTGGATTACTTTAGTTATTTTAGAGCAAAGCTCAATTTCTTTGTACAGCTGCAAGGAACAAAAGGAAGTCATTATACATCCTGAAACAACAGCCTACTTCATTCATGGCGTGGTGGGTGGGTTATTGACAGCATGGAAGGAGGCCATTAATTTTCTGTACTTTCAGACAAAGCAGCTCTAGCAGCTCTTTATAGAGGAGTTTCTTTGCTATGTCATGATTACATGATTTAATTACAAAAGAGGTTACAGATATTGTTTATAAAGCTTCTCCATGATTATTTTTGGTGCATGGATCTCCCAGGCACATAGTTCTATTTATTATAAACCTTGTTGCTGTAGTATTTTTTCCTATTGTGATTTCTAATACATTGTAAATCAATTCCTGACATTTTTTTAAATACATTTCTTGACCTTGACTCGTTTTCAAAACAGCCTGTGAGGGGAGGAAAGATCATATTCAAGATATCAGTGACATACCAAGTCACATATATCCTCCTCTGGTTTGGGAATGTAGAATTGCACTTGATTTTCTATAAGGAATTTGAGTCGTAAGTAGTGTTTAGTGGGATCGAGCTGATGAGCCTGTGGGATGAGCACAAAAAGACAGAAATTTATCCAGAATCGCAGCAGTGAGATATCTTTCATGTTTTCCTAACAGCTGGTATTTCTCTGGCTCAGTGTGGCTTTCAGTTTAAGCGTCTTATGAATATCGCTTTAAACCGTAGCTCATTCGAGGCTCTGTGTTTTTTTTACCTTGCAGATGGACTCGAGAACACACAGTGCAGACTCTCCTGGCTGGATGATTGTTAGCACGGGCTGGTCATTTGGGAGACATACCCAGGAGGGTGTAAGGTGGTCAGGAACCCAGATATCGCTCTCTGTGCTGGGTCGTGGAAGGCTTTTCACAGTTCCCTCCTCACTTTTCTTGAAATGGAGACATCCAAAGTAATTAAACACACTTTACTGCAAGGTCTGACTTCTTCAAATTAGATAATACTTCTAAAATAGTCTCCAAAATAATCCATCTTCACCAATACTTTGCATCTTCCTTCTAAATCACAGAGTAGTCGGAATACACTTTCCAAGCCATATAGTGCATTTGCTTAAATGGGGAATGAAAGAAAAATTAAAAGCTCTAATTTGCCTGAGTAGCTGTCACAGCTTGTAAACTCTTCACTTTGGCTCTGGCGCTTACTCAGAATACATTAAGGGGTAATATTTCACTGATGTCAATGTTGGCCACATATTTTGTTGAGGAAGTTCGCACTTCTGTTTGACCAACTGCTCACTGACAAATGAATGCAAACAGATAACTGAATTATTCATCCTTACTGTGTTTTCCTTAGCAGGATCAACATATATGCCATCTACTGGCTTTTTAATGGGCTCTTCACCATCAGCAAAAACCTGCAGGAGCAAACAACAAAATGGCAAGTTACCAGTCAGGTAGGATGGATGCTTGAGAAATGGGCAAAAGTAACTTGTCAGCTGTGATTAAGCATGGAAATTTTGGAAGGAGGTGGAACACTTCACAGACCTGGCTGACAGTTGGGTGGGCTTTTGTCTTTTTCTTTGAGGTAGTGTCCAGACCCCAGAGGGAAGAGAACCTGCTCTTGCGCTTACTGCAGGAACGAGACATGGCCTGCGTTCGCCGCCTCACTCCGGTCTCCGTGCGGGCTGCCACCTGGAAAACGTAACATGGCGAAGTGGGGTCAAAAACGGATCAAATGAGATCGACAGCTATCTGTTTGACCTTGCGTCAAATCCCATTTTGCCAAAATGACTTTAGAAGTGCAGCATATCAGCATATTTTAGGGGGTTTTAAAATAAATAAAATCATAAATATTCAAGAGAGGAAAGCTACAGTTCTGACAAAAAGAGAAAGAAGAAATGAAACTGAGTATATACAAAAAGTGATCATGGAACATTTCACTGAGTGGTTTATGGAATCTACCTTGTCTTAAGTGACTGAATAAATGGTCATGTTAATCATACAGATATAGAGTAGTCAAATATTATGCATGAAAACTAGACTTGGACATTTTTTAGGCTGCTTAACTATTAACTCATTCACTGCCATTGACGTCTATAGACGTCAATTGAAACTGAAACATAAACAAATGGCTGGCAGTGAATAAGTTAAGAAATAAGTAAAAGGTTTGGGTTTTTTTTTTTTTTATAAATACTGAATTAAACATATCAGCACTGGGCCTGCAGCAGGCTCTAAAACTAGCCTAGGCACTCATTCTGTCATTTGTTCTGTCAACACTTTGCAGGCCATTCTGGTGAGTGCACAGTGCTGATACAGAGTAAATTCAAGAGGAGTGAAAGCGTAGGAAAGCTCTTAGCAGTTGTCTTTTGTTAGACATCCTTAACTGCTATCTCCCAGCTCAAACACCCACCTGCTCTGTAGCACTGCGTTGGTGGTGGTGAGGGAAAAAGCACCTCAGTGATCTGCGAAACATCGCTAAAAAATTCAGATGTTTTCTTTTACTACTAGTGCTTTTAGATGTGAAGTACATAACCTCTTTGCAGCAGCAGTGGGAGGCCAAAACTGAACTAAAACCCTCACAAACGGGTGAACTACGTGAGACCCGAGCTCATAAATAGCATAGTCGTTATTTTTAAAAAAGAAAAGCGTGGTTTGACACAATGCATTGTAGTTTTTGGACTCGACTGTCCTGCCAAGAGCATCACTGGATGTGCTCAGTGATGCCAAAGTGTATTTTGAGTGAGATTTCACAGTCCTTTACTAACAATATGAGAGCAGGTTTGAGCTCTGCAACAGCGACAGCTACTGTTACTTAAGTGCACTTTAGATAGATGTTTGTCCCCAATATAATAATCAATTCCAAGGTACATTTTTGAGGTCTCCAGGTCTCTTTTTCCACAAAAAAAAGAAATTGAAAAGGACACTAAAATATGCCATTGTGTTTGCTTCAGCAGCAAAAATAAAGGAGAGAATATTTACCAATGCATGGAAGGAAGAGACCGAGAATATACCCAGCCGGCCCATTGCCAGCTTGGTGGGGCGAGAGGCAAAAGCCAGAAGGCGTTTGGGGTTAGGCAGCTCTCCTCCTTGCAGGCTGGCCAGGTAGCATCTAAAGCGAAATAAATCCATGTGAAACTGCTCCAGGTTCTGCTCCCACAAGAATATCTGCAGGTTGAGAGGGACACAACAGTACATCCAGTTAATAGTTCATTAATGCCCTTGTCTGTCAACTTCAGACTAAGATGGGGCATCTCCTCACTTCCATAGAAGCTCTGTTACCACTTTTCTCAAAGTGTTGCCAACCTGCACTCTCTCTGTGCCTAATGGTTTGATGTTTATTGGGGCAGTAGAGCAGGACATTGTGATTATTCACTGGGCTGTCCCCTCCCTGTCATGGTCTTGCACTGGTGTTTGGAATAGGCGGCCAGCTCCATGGCAGAGTGCTCTGTATTACTGCCAAGTAGCCCAGAGACGAGAAAGAAACAATACTGCGCATTCCACTGGCAGATAGAGGCTGGGAGCGTTTCAGCTTTCTAAGGAGCAGTCCTACATCCATTCAGTTCTCACAATTTGAAACCTGACACTGCCAAACAGAACAGCTCCAACCAGCCACTACCAAACGGACCAAACAACAGCGATCTCTCCCCTTTCTGTAAACAGACCCATTAAAGACAATATGAACTTTGCAATTAATTGAGAATGTCAGGCTGACCAGAGCAAAGTGCATATTACAATAAGAAAAATAAAAAGCAATCTGGGGGCTGTTACATTTGTAGCATTAGCAGCCTCTAGCGGAAGATTCCTCTAAATCTGCAACTTAATCCTCTCTCATTGCTCCCTGCTTCTCTCTTTTCCTCATATTCCATGTATTAAAAACCTGAGGATACAAGACTGAAATACATACTTACATTTGATATCTGTAAGTATTGTAACAATAGCTAAAATATCACTAAAAATGATCTTTAGCATTTTTTAATTAAGCTAAAGATTCCTCAGGATTGGTTCTCATTGAGGTTTAACAGATATCTTAAGAGCTCTTAAATAGATATAATGCTTTTTTTATACGTCTTCCTGACATGCTTATGAATCCAGACAAAACTGAACTTTTGTGGGCTGATTACTAGGAGGGATGGGCAAAAGCTTAAATTTGAAAAACAAGTATGTCACAACTAAAACTGACTGATGGGGCACAGTTATATTTGGCATTTTTCATACTTCCATCCTTATTTGATAAATATTCAGCCAAGCTAGGAGTCACTATGTTGCATTCCAGGTGTTTTTTGAAGCTACTCAACCCATTTTTTCATATATACTTTCTATCAGTATTGAAGTTATAGAGACGCATTAAGAAATCAAACTGGTAAAACTTTGTTTAACTTCACTGTTTTCTTTTGAAATAATCTATTTTTATAGAAAGGGGATTTGTAATCAGAAATAATATAGCAGTAAGTCGTTTTTCCATGCCTTGTTCAGAAATGTTTTCCCCCTGCACACCTGCCTGACATGAGCTCAAGGAAGAAAGTAGTATGACACCTACTTGGTCCAGGATCGTCTTCCTCTTCTTGGTGTCAGTGACAGCAGACAGCTGCATGTCTCCCATCTTCTTCATCTTCTCGTCCATGTCGATCTTCTGCTCGAGCTTCTTGATCTCGGCGCGAAGTAGCCGAACAGTGTCCTCTCTGTGATGCTGGCGGGCGACAGTAGTGGCACATGCTGAGTGGATGGCTGTGATCCAGTTTTCCAGCTCTGTCTGGCTGCAGGTCTACAGGGGGAGGGACCATGAAAGGTCAAAGGTTACACAGCACACAAACTCCTTTTTTTTTTGTTTTGTTTTGCTCCTGATGTATTAAAAGGCCAGAATTTTAAAGATCATAAAAAGAAAATACAGTCAATACAGGGCAATGCATGCAAATTAAATTTGTATTTATTCACAGAACAGTTGACATACATGCATTTTCTTACCTGGAACAGAAAAGCATCTCCCAGGGAATTGCTGAGGCAGAACACAAAGTCCTTTTTGGGATGTTCTGGTACAGCCTGGACAATACTGTTCTCCACCCAGATGGCATGTTTGGGATTGCTGTTGTTGTCAATCCCTGAACGTCCATCAGTCTCATAGAAGAAGAGCGTGCAACCTGGAAAACCAAAACAATGGAACTGTTGATTTAATTATTTATTTTTAGAAGAAAGTCAGATTTCCTCAAGCAATTTAATTCTGCTCTCCAGTGGCCAACATTAAGAAGTGCAGCATGGCAAGAGTCAGGGAGAAAGGCTTTATTAGACACAGACTTCTAAATTGATTTCAAGTCCAGTCCAGTGACATAATGCCTTAAAGAAATCTCATTTGAAGTAAACCTTTGCTCTCCCTTTTGAATGTCAGCATGTAACTAAATAGCATCAAACATATTATCTTGCATGAGCAGGATGTCACAGGCTGACATTACAGGAGTGCAGTGCAATAAAATGTAAATTTAATGATACCACTGAGGCCATGACACACCTTTGAGAGAAACCCAGTAACTCTTCCACTTGCGCCTTGTGGCTGACTCCACTTTCTTGTTTTTCTTATGCACAAGGAAGTTCTTAACAGCAAGTTTGCCAGCTTTGCGCACCATCCCTTGGACAACACTGAGTAAGAGGTCGGACTGGTAGGCGGAGCTCATAGTGCTCTGCTCATCACTTAGGGCAGACCCCGCCTCCTCCAAGCTCTCAGTCTGGCAGGAGCTCATCTGTAGTTCCTGACGGAAATTTTCGTACACGCCCTGAACGCACTCGCTGGCCCCTCCGCCGCCACTGCTGCTCCCGCTGTCACTGCCAGTGAACATGTTCCTGCCATGCACTGAGAACACAGAGAAGGAGGCCGACATGGTCTTGTAGCGGCGAGACTGGTGCTCCGGCTCCACCGTCACCCCGTCGATGCCGCTGTCCTCATATTCGCTGCCCTCCCCGCCTGTGACATCCTGAGTTGTGGCAGAAGCACAAAACAGGTGAGACGGCATCACAGCTTCTTGTTCATCACTAAGAAGGCAGCTGGTCATTTAGAACCGCTGCCCTCACCTGATCATCTATCTCTAAAGGATAGAAGCATTTTTGAAAAGCAAACATGTTGCAAAAAAACAAAAACAAACAAAACACAGATGCTTAATGAGAGCCCACAGGTTGTCTAACCCTGAGTTTCTGCTTAAAATTAATTGCCAACAGCAAAGCATCTGCTGTTGTGTGAACACAGCCTGCCCGGCCTGTGGCACCACAGGGTCTGCCCTCTCCTACCCACATGGTCAAAGGCTCCTGGGAGATGAAGGGGGTTACACTGAGCTTGGTATCTCCATCTGGTCACATGACCTAATCATGCGGTCCAGAACTCCATTCACCAGAGTTGACGGTGCCCCGTAGAGACAGGGCCACCAATGCACGTTTTACTGTTACACTCTTCCACAGGCCTCCCTTCATTATCATAACAAAGGCCGAGGTATTTCTAACAGAGAGTGACTTTAGGCTGTGCTCGCCCCCTCCCATCATCGCAATCTCCTCTCACAAGAAAAACAACAGTTTCTTCAGGAAACTACGACTCCCTCGTCCCACACAAGCTTTCTTTCTACACTCAGTTTGTTTTAACAGCTTATTGTGAGGTGACTGAAGCGGAACAAACTCACAGATTCATTGGGGAAGTGAATGAAGGGAGCTGTACTACTACTAGATCATTTCAGATTTAGCACAGCTTTTCATGCTCTGTCCAAAACAGAACAGAATATCCACGACGGCATTAAACAAAGGAAGGTCCTTGACATATATGTATCCAACAGGCTATCAAAAATTCATCAGCACTCGAATTTTTACTGTTTTCTAAGAACCACATTTTCAATTACTTTTTTAAAGCTAAATTTAATGTGCAAACAAGCAGTACATTATAAAATAGTTACAGATCTTACCTGTATAGTCTGCGCCCTCCTGCCCTGCATGCTGGCACACATTTCAACTTGGTGGCTGGTCAGGCCTTCAGACAAGCAGTGTGAACGTCGGCAGGGAAGGGTGTATGCACCGTAGGTGTTTCCATCCTCGTCTGATGGAGATAGCATTTTATCGTCCTCACCCTCCCTGATAGCCCTGTTGGTGTTGTGCCACTTTGCATAGCGGCCATGGAGTTGCCTGGAGGCAGGACTCATCTGGCTATACAGCTCATCCAGTGAGTTTGCCCTGTCAGTGGAGTCTGTTGGGCTGGACTGCAGGTGGCCTTCGCAGCCAGTGAAGTCCCTCTCGTTAGTCAAGTCTATAATCTCCTCTGTGCTGGTCAAGTGATCTTGACTGACATCAGACAGGGAGAACTCCAGGCTGTCATCTCGCCACATGTCTGCAGATTTAGACCTCTTCTTGAAGCCAACAGTCTCCTTGGAGCAGTCTGGGGTTTTCTGGAGGTATTTCACTTCACCTGCGTACATATCTTCATCCTGCACCTCCTCTGCCATGGGACCAGGTAGGGTTATGTGCATTGAGGGATTGGCCAGGTCATTGTAAAAGGATACTGGACGCAGATTCATGGCCACCCGGTCCACCCAAATGGGGCTTCCAAAGTCTGGGAGGATATTTGTCTCATTGAAGGGTTCCAGGCCATTGTCAGCCAGGGACTGTGGGATGCTGGGTGTGCTACTTGAGCGCGTGCTTGTCTCAGAATTCCTGTGCTCTATTTTTCCTGATGAAGCATGGCGAGAGCGTCTGGACTGCTTGTTGGAGATGCGAAGAGACCGAGACATGTGCTTACGTGACAAATAGCCACGTCCATAGAGGGCATGGTCCCCATTCTGGCTCTCAGCATTTCCCATGATTCAAAGGCTAAATGGACAGGGGGAAACAGATTAAATAAACCTAGGGGGACATGAAGGAGAGACATACAGAAGAAAAGAATTGTATCTGAATGGTGTTTTACCTGCAGGGCCGTAATGATTTTTCTGGCATTTTGTCACTGGATCTTAAGACAGTTTGTTCCTTTGGCTGGTATAATCCACAAACCTCTGAAAAACAGATATCTAGATGAAAAATCAGTACAAAACCTGTGTGCTCTTAATTATGTGCGGCTTAGCTAAATATTTGTACTCTTTCAACAAATCTGTCTACAGATATGGACACGTAAAGACGGAACATGACATGTTGTTTCCATCCTAGGCTTTCCCCTAAAACATAGGACACTGTTCACATAAAAAGAAATGATAATGGTAGATGTTATAAACGCAGAGCTGTAACTTGTCTTGCTTTGCGGTTATTTCTTTAGTAATTATCTGTAAAGTCAGCTAAATAAACACTGTGCTTAGACTGGTAGAGGATGTGAGCCACTCAAGCCCCCTTCAATATGTACAGGGATTTTGTGAAGTGGAGGGTACCTAATGACAGTGTGAGCGAACATGAGTTATTCAGAACTGGAATGAACCATCCATGCAGAGATATAGTTGTTTGCTCTCAGGCACTGCTTCCTGCATTAACAAGGACTGGGAGCAGGAGGGTGCAGAAGCTTTGACTATAATGCACATTTGGACTCTATTTATCCGCCTTTAGGCCGGACAGTGTGATGTAAAAAGGAAAACAAAAGTCCTGTTCCACTTTGGGACCACCAACAGATGGGACAGAAGATTAGCTAACTCATTTGTGGCCGCTGCTTCTCACGATGTGTGCTTCTCCACTTTTTAGGATAGACCCTCGGGGGGGG